GTCCAGTTGATTTTCTTGCTGCGCCATTTCACCCGCTGCCAGTGACTGTAGAATAGTTTCACTTTCTCTGAACAGAAACAGAGTCTCTGCTTCTCCCCCTCTCGTTCACTTCCTGCAGTGACTCAGCTCCCACAGTTCACGTCTTGTTCACTGATTCTTACACTGACACGTCTGTGACGGGAGGAGACAGAGAAAYMTCCTGACTGGGAGGAGCTGGTTGTGTTTGAGAGCAGGAAGAAGCTTTACTACATTTCTCTACCATGAGCTGTTTGGGAGTTTTTTATCTGTGTCATCACATTTCAAAGTGAATGTTTGCACAGGGAGCTGTCACATTCAGCTCACAACAGCACAGGTTGAATAAGTTTACAAAATCAGCTTTTTATATTTTGAGGTTTGATCATAGGAGTGATTCCTGAGGCCCAGTGATGAGCCGAGAGCAAAGTAACACATGAACCAGCAGCAAGTTGCATCTCGAAGTGAGGAGATTCAAATCTGCGTTGTTTTGATCACAGATATGATTCACATCAGCTTTCAGGCCGTGAACACAACAAGAATAAATGAATGACATAACAAAGTTGCTGTGGCAATAAAAGAGGAGGAGCACCACAAACTGATGAGATTAACGACATCATCACTGTTAAAGATTTAAATTTCTTGTTCTCAGGGTTTTCCGCCGCAGACGGAGGCCTCGCAGCTCGCTGGCTCGCCTCCTCAGCGACGTCACAGAGAGCTGCCAGTCGTGGCTGGGTGAGAGAGTCTTCAGAGGCGTTTTCGGAACTGGACAAAACCAGAACCGGGACCAGGACAGAGAGGACGAGCGTGATCACAATTGGGCCATCAGCAGCCAGCAGGTCCTCACGCCGGATGACTCCTCCTGGGTCGGGTTGAGCGCCACTGAGCTGGAAGAGAGCCGCAGCTTTACATACGGTAAAGTTCAGCCCAGACGTGATTCTACATGAACCGAAACATTTCTAAAAATACATTTTGTCCTCTCAGACCCGACAGAGATCCCGTCCTGTCCTGACAAAGTGTCTCCGCCCCCGAGGCTGCTCATCCAGGAGGAGATTTGCTCTGAGATCTGTCAATCAAAGGAGCAGTTCACCCAGTCATTGGGGGGACTGTCAGAGGTCCCGCCCACCTCTGCTTTCTACACCAGTGCCTGCTGCTGTCAGACGTCACCTGAGCACACGGGTCAGCATCGTTAATGTTCCTAATCGGTGTCGCTGCAGTTTGTCCTGAATTAACCAGAGTGGGTGGAGTCATGGGTCGGGGGTCAGAACATCATCTCTTTTTTTTTCTGTCTTGTTTTTTGTTTCGTTCTCAAACTCGACGAAGACAAACGCTGATGATTCTGACACGTTAGCTCGCTCATCAGGGACTCACGCCGTCTCAGCCCAGATCTGACGAGATTGTGTTTGTATTTTTGTTTCAGGGTTAACGATGAAGGTCTTTCTCCTCCTCATCTTCACCGTCTTCCTCTTCTCAACTCTTTACTCGAGGTAAAACGTTTTGCATCTCTGCGCCGGCAACAGCCACTGAGCAGAGGCTTGATGTTTTCAGGTCGTCCGTCTTCTTGTGAACACAATATCTGAAGAGCACCTCGAGTGAATCCCTGACACACACGTTGACTTTGCCTCACGGGTCAACTGATTAGATTTGGTTGGTCAAAGGTCACTGTGACCTCAGAAATGTTTTTGGCCTCGTTATATTGTTTTGAATGCAGTATATCAGGTTTACCAGGTGGGGGCGTGCAAACAGGATTATTTTTGTAAAACTGTGAAATATTTATTTTGAATGTTTTCTAAAAGAATAGTTTTTTTCGCTGCAGGTGTTTGTGGTGGAGCACGACTGTTACTTCAACCGTGTTCATGGTGATCACAACTTTTATGTGTAAGTATCACAAACTCACACGGATGTGTCACCTCACTGGAACATGTTAAAGTTCCAAGGCCATGTATGGATGATGTCATTTTAAAGATACTTGAAATTTAAAATTTCTCTTCTCTGGTTTAAATTGAATCGCTACTTCAACCTTCATTATATGGAGACTTCGGTTTGATAAGATGTTAACATTCATTTTGTTGTTTATTTCTTTGATTCATTTTAAAGCAGCAAAGTTGACATGAACTCAAGTGTCCTGAGAAAACTAAATACTTATTGACCTTCAATTCTAAGTGTCAGCTGCAGATTAAAAAAATATTTGTTTCTTTTTAAATGATCAATATCAGCTATTCCAAACTTTTCACACTGAGATGTTTGAAAGGAAAGGTTTTTTATTTGTAGTTGTGTCTCTTCCAGTCCTGACGAAGTCGGGGCCGATGGGCGAGTGGAGGAGGGCGAAGACGGAGGTGAGTCACAAACCAAACAAGTTTCACTCCACTTCATCGACTGCCAGCGAAAGACGTAACGCTAATGTTCTCTCCCGACTCTGTGTCTCAGGACATCACATCCAGAAATGAGTAAACGAAGAAACAGAAGAAAATTTCAAACTGGAAGAGAGAAAGAGAAGAAGGTCTGATGGAAACTCAGTCAAAATATTTAACCTTTCACTAAATGTTTGCATGTGAGTTGCACTTAAAAGACCAAGTTATTCTGAGCTCCGGAAAACATTTTACAGCAGCAAGTGTTTGACTGCGAAACCTCCAATGAGCCGTTTCTGAGCGTAAATGCTTGTGGATCTGAAGAGCAGTGTATCAAAATGAAATTAAACCTATTTTATATTTAACCTTTAACTCTAAAGAAAAACGCTGGATCTATCAAGTCCTCCCTGAAGGTCTCTGAATATTAAAGTCAGGTGAACGACAGAGAGAAACGTCAATAGAACATGAAACTGTAAAAAAACCCTTGTGAGTGGATGATGACTCATGTTCGAGCGAAGAGAAGCTTTATCAGTTTGACCGTTTGTTTCTGATAAAATGCTGAAGGAGCTCTATCAACATGGCGACACTGTAGTTTAGATGGAAGATAAATAATAACCATTCAAATGTCCCTGATGTATTTTGAAAAGACTGTAAACGCGTCTTCTGTTGATCGGAGTTGAACTTGGCTTGTTTGCGTCCAAAGTGACCAAACGTCGGATGTTCAGCGTCTGAGAACAGATTCTGCTCCAACAGCAGCAAGAGGAAAAAAGAGAGAAACTGTGAAGCTTCACATTTATAAAACACAGACGCACACAACGAATGACGTTCCAGTTTATCTACCTGGAACTTCTATCTGCAGGAAACTGAATTGGGTTTTATTCAACATATTATAAATTAAAAAAAAAATAATGAAACAAATCACGTGTGTCTTTAAAAAAAGTTCCACATTGAAATGTGTAATTTAAAGCGACACTGTGTAACTGTAACTGATCAACAGCGCCCCCTGCAGCCACACATGGTGATTAGTTAGTGACCATTCTCCATATTCACACTTACCATCAGACTCACTTTAATCAAACTGACGGTTTAGGGTGAAACCAAGTGAAGCAGTGAATAGAGGAGGACCGAGGGCAGAGCCTTGTGGAACACCTTTTCTAAACGTCAAAGCACCTGATCTTTAAGTCACTGCTTGTTTGTTTCAGGTATGTGGGTTAGGGACCGTTCTCCGTATTCACAGTCACCGAACCATCAAACTCACTTTAATCAAGCTGCTGCTTTAAGGTTAAAAAAGTTTAAAGTTGAATTGTGTCGCTTTAAAACTTCATCAGGTCGGATTTTAGTGTGAAAGCGAAAAATCCGATTTAAGTTTTGACAAAAAGACTTTTATAGTTTTACTGGTGCAAACCGAAGCATAAAAACTCCAGTTAGTCTACCTCACTGAATTCACACTGACAGTTCAAGCTGATCAGGTGTTTAAAACAAAGTCAGAGCCTCACCCTGACTTCAGTCATTAGGGGGGGGGGGGGGGGGGGGGGTAAACTCCATTTAGTGTGATCTGTTCAATGGTCGTGTTTTAATCAGGTGGGTTTGTAGTTAAACTCTTCGGTGGTAAAGTGCCTTAAGTGCAGAGACACAGAATAATACAGGGACGTTATTTCAGATGGAACACTGAACAGACCTGCTCATAGGTTGAGTGGTGTTTGATTTAACCTGCGATCTGTCCATCAAACCCTCTGATACAATCACTTCCATGTTTCTAACCCTGTCTTCTCTCGGAGGCTGCACACGTTAGTTTTAAAATGCATCACTGTTACTATGGTTCATCAGGTGGAGTTTTCCAGCCTGACTCTTGTGTAAACGCTGCTGATCTGGTTTCAGTTTGAAACTCTGGTTTGTGTTTTAGTCTGAACACAAACTGAGACTTTAGTGAACGGTGACGCCCACGTTCTCTTGTGATTGGTTCTCATCGGTCACATGACTCACCTACCAGCAGTGAACACAAAGCGTCGCTAACACTTCCTGTCAGGAACAGTTCCACCTCGTCGTCGCTCAGAGAAAAGAAATCTCTGCTCGGACTTTTCACCATCACTGTTTTCTGTAGCTAAGCAACCACTGCAGAGGAGACACTCTACTTCCTGTTTCTATGACCAGTGCACATGAATAGTCATGTGACGTGTTTTCAGGAGTTAATGTGGACAGAGGTGGTTTTGGTTTTAAAAAAATTCAACGCTTCAGTGTGGATGTAACTGGAGACGTTGAACTTCCTCAGCTTTTGAAAGTGTCAGGAACACGAGGGCGGTTTTATGAGCAGCTTGCTTTTAGAAAATACTGTGAACACAACAGTGTTGAACTCCACCCGGCTGGCATCACAGGCAGGACACATAAAAACATCCGCAATTATTTGAGTCCAGTAGAAATCAGGTCAGTGTGAAGGTTCGCTCTTCTTCAGACTGTGATGCAGGGATTTCAGACGAAGCAATAATTACAGAGAACAAACGATCCAGTGAGCTGAGATGTAAAACCTCAGCTGTGAACGAGAAACAATCAGGGATTCGACCTTTGTTGGAATCATCCTGTCTCGATACGATGATACAGAATATTATAGTGTTGAAGTGAAGCTGGGACCAAACCAATGTAAAGAAAAACTTCTGGAACTTTGCAGAGACGTTCAGTGAACCTGAACCTTCTGGACTCAACTTTAAAGGGTTTCAGGTATTTTTGGGGAACAAACTCTGACCTGACGAGTTGCAGATTGTCTGAATAGATCAAACCGAGCTTCTCAATGAATTTGATCGGCACAAATTTTCTGCTTCATTTTTTAATTGTACCAAACAACGTTGGTGCGACCGGGCCTTCAAAACTCAAAGTGAGTTCTGCATCGTCTGATGTGTTTTTGTGTATTTATTCACTAAAAGTGCCAAATGGGTTGAAATCAGACACTTCAGCAAATGTTACATCACCAATATTTATGATTAAAAATCTATATAACCAATATTTTTACTACTGCTCTGCATGAATTTTTCTAACTTTGCATTAAAAGCTGCAAATGTTTTTATAGGAATGATGGATCAGCTCCACTGAACCCTTTAGCCTCTGTTAGCTCCTGGTTTTAGAGCCGGAGCGAACACCGGGCATGAATTCACGTTCTGTCGCTGCCTGAAGTGACAAACATGCAACAGTTTCCTGTTGTTTCTTTCTCCTGCTGCCCCCTGGTGGTCAACAGTAAATTCATTCAGCTTTAAATAATCACAGTTGAATGTTTTGTTTTTTTTATTCAACATACAAATATTTAATTTACTGCAAAAGACGACAAGAAATTCCAGAAATTTCCTGAAAGACATTTAATATGAATTTAGATCTGATTCCTGTTACTGTACATGGTGTTGATGATGTTGTACACGTTTTGTTTGAAATGTGATTCTCTTGTGAACGCACTTATTATAACCGTTCATTTTAACTCCCCTGTTCTGTATCCATGTAAAGTCTCTCACAGTTAAAACAGCTGCTCTGAAAACTGTAAATCTAAATCTCATATGAAACACCAACTAGATTTTCATTTGAAACAATTCTGATGTCAGAAATGAAAAATGTTCACGGATGAATCCGATGTATTTGCTTCTGAAATAACTGCAGTGTTGATCGCTGTGTTTCAACCAGTAAATTGTCTAAATGAACAAACAGCAGTTTAGATGATGCGTAGTTTCTCTTTTGGCCTTTTGATGGCGCTGTGTTAGAAGATTTAACATTTACAGTACTTGGTGCATTGTTTTGTTTGATCTAAGTTCAAGTCAGAGTTTATCGTGTATTAAAACCTTGTTAAAAAGGAATCCAGTGTTTTTCTGTGAACTTCAGTTTCTCCAGAACAAAAGGGAAACCAAAGCATGTCCGTCGCCCCCTGGTGGCTGGCAGCAGTACGGGTCATTAACCCCACCTCCTCCATGTTCGCTGATGTGACCAAACACAACTAATCCAAGCAGACGTTAAAAAAATGTTTGTAAAAATGTTTTCTATCATTTTTGTTAGTTGAGATGTCATGATTGACAGCTGACACTGACTCCTGATAGGTCGCTCATGTGTCTGGGCGGGACCTCGGTCCCCCGATCACCACTGCACAGACTGACTCATGGCAGCAGGGTTCCTCTCCAGGATCATTTGGTTTCATTTCTGGAGGAAGCTGAGATTATTTCCTCTGACCCCGTTCACACCTGGTATTAACATGTGGTTTTTGTGATCAGTTCCAAGTTCAGGTGTGAACGCACTCAGGTCGCATAGCGATCCGATCCCTCCAGATCCCATTCGGAGGTGGTCCGGTCCACGTGTCCACATTCGTTTTACAAAAACCACATGTGGATACCAGGTGTGAACGGAGCCTGTGTTTCAGAGGCAGATCTGAAATCCAGCTCCACAGATGCTCAGCAGCTGTTCAGGTCTTGTGTGTTATTTTGTCCATTCACTGTTGGCACATGTGGCTCCAGTGGGATCTGAACCCTGACCTTTAACCCCACCACCGTCATTGTCCCTGTAATGTTGGCGGCACCCGTTTCTCTCCTGCATGGACAGTGATGTGTCGTCGCAGGTGGCTGCCTGATATAAACGTCTTGCCACAGTACGAACACCTGAACTGTTTACAGTCTGTGTGGACGGTCATGTGGACCTTCAGAGAGCCCGACTGAGCGAAGCGTTTGCCGCAGTGGACGCAGCCGTAGCGCTTCTCTCCGGTGTGGACGCTGTGGTGGCGTTTCAAGTTGCTGGAGTCGGAGAAGCGCTTGCCACACAGCGAGCAGACAAATGGCTTTTCGCCGGTGTGGACCCTCATGTGGGTCTTTAGGTTCTTCAGGCAGGCCAAAGTTTTACCGCAGCAGTTACACACAAACGACTTCCCCCCGCCATCCTCTCCGCTCTGGGTGGCAGCTCTGTTGACTCCACCCTGATGTCTCCATCTGTCCCTCCTGATGAAAGCAGCCTGTCTCTCAGTCACTGCTTTTCTTACTGGATGCTGAGGCTGGTCTGTGGCTAACGGCGCCCTCTGCTGGTTGTCAATGAACACTGCGGGCTGTTGGAGCTCTGCTGCAGACGGGCTCGTCTCATTGGCGTTGAAAGGGAAGCTGCTGCTGCTGCTGCCTGAATCAGAAACACTCAGCTCACTGGTGTTCAACACGTACGAGCAGCCAGGATTCTCACTCAGAGGATTCTGGGTAACGCGGGGGCCATGTTGGAGCTGTGGCTCGTACATCAGACATTCGTAACTGCTGGATTCCAACCTCCGGCTGGTGTTCAGGCTTTTTTGGCCTTCGCCTGCTGCTTCCTGTTTGGTCGACGGAGGCAGAGGTTCTGTCTCTGTCGTCTGTTCTTCACCAACACGACAAAAACCAGCTGAAAAGAAAGAACCACAAAACAACTTATCACCAAGTGTGTGTGTGTGTGTGTGGGGGGGGGAGGGGGGGGGGGTTACTTTACCAGTTTAAGATGTTGACAGATACAGGAAGTGAGCCCGGTCAGCTCCACCTTCACAATAAAACTAGGGATCAGTTGCTCTGGTCTTGAATCAAAGTTTTACTTGAGTTAAAATTTCTAGTTAAGTTCAAATAGAATTGGAATCAGAGGTTTGATGACACAATCTGATTTCTGTGTAGAACACTGATGTTTGTGTCTCTGATCAGTTTGGTTTGAATCAGTTATTTGATGATATAAAATCAAGACGTCATGATTGACAGCTGAGACTGACTCCTGATCGGACGAGTGTGTGATTCACACGTGGACCCCGATACCGCGGCTCTGCTCCCCGACCACCACGGCACTCCTAATGACATCATCTCCATAATACGTCCAACTAGAGGAAGTGGAAGTGTGGCCCGTAAAACTGAACTCACTGTTCGGCTCGGGCCGGGACCAGGACTCGTCCTCGCTGTCGTCCTCCACTTTGATCACCGCCATCGTCAGGTTGATCGATTCAACAGCGGCAGGCTGCGATCGGCGGAGAGAGCGATGAGAAACGGACGGAGTGAAGGACGATGTCAGGCGAGGAGGTGAAGAAGGTGCTGGAGTGCTGTCCTGTCCAGGGTCAGGGGGCGGCTCCTGAGGGGCCACCGCCAACACCGCCACTTCACCTGGAAGACAAGTTTCAGGGTGAAGTTTGAAGTTGTGGGACAACATTTACCAAAACAACCGATTCCAAACAGTCAGAGAAATGTAGCATCTGCAGGTTTTGATTTGTTGACTCTTCGACTGACACAAGATATTGGTGTTGAGAAAGATCTACTGCGGAGCAGGACTTCAAATGAACTGTACGAACTACATTCACTCTGTTTTCTCACGTTGCTCATCACCGTACCTTGTGTCGTCTTTATGTTAGCTAGCATTTTTCGGTGACCGTTTAGCGTAGGGGCTGATCGATTTCGCGCTTCTTTTGCAGAGGCTACGCTAACATAACTGCGAATGCTGTTCTATCCGGTGCGTAGTGAAACTAGCTGTTTGTTGTCGCGGTGTTACCGAACTGTGGTTTTCATGATTTCTTTTTTAAACCGTTTTTTAAAAAAAGTTATCGCATTTGTTTCCGTTAAGGTTTTTTTAAATCTTTTCTCTTGTGGCTGTTTCGAGCGCGTGTCTCTGCTGACGGGTTCGAACGGTTACCTGCCGGGGTTCGATTCCCCCTCGGGTCGTTGCCCGGGTGACGCGCCGGCGGTGGAGCTCGAGCGCGGCAGCTCGCGTGCGGCAGCGCGGTGCCGCTGGCGGCCACGGCGGCGCGCAGTGCGGTCGCGCGGTTGGCGCGCAGCTCCGCGAGCCGCAGCTTCCGGCGCAGAGCCTCGTTTTCTTTGCGGCTCCGCGAGATCTCGAGCTGCAGCAGCGAGTAGCCTCCGTCCACCAGCTCACAGATCTCCGCCACCGCCGCGTTAGCCAGCACCTCCATGATGGCGGCCAGCTGCGCGTGCAGGGCAGCTGACATGTCTCGACCCTGCGCGCGCGTCGTCGTCGTCGTCTCTCAGCGATCCGAGAGCTCAGGCTCGTGACGGCGACAGAGCACGGGAACCGCACGCGCTCGCTCGCTGTGCGTGCTCGATGAGGAGGTCCGTCACCAGCCGGCGGGAACGGATGGACTCGAACCCGGAAGTGACGAGGCCGACACAAACAAAACACTCGATCACTACGGAAGCCGAGGCAGAGCGCGCGCCAAAAAAACATGTCACACCTGAACGTGTCAAATACCAAGTGACGTCATTCTCGCGTCGGATCCGAAGTCATGATCGTTTTCGTCCATTAATCTGATATTAATGAAAACATTCAGAAAACAAAGCTTCTGGGTTAATAACTATTGTTTATTTTCATCTCGTGACCATGACATCATTTTCCACGTCAGATCT